TTTAAAAAGTATATCTTCACACTTCTAACCATTCTTTATGCATCTCTAGCAATTGTCATCAATCAAATTCATTGTATTATAATACACGCTAACCCTAAACAACTCTAGACAAGGCATTTATTTCTTCAAACCAATGGTTGTGAGTTCTTTTCCCATTTGGAACCAAATTTCAACAAGTTTTTCTTCACACTTCTAAACATTCATCATGCATCTCTAGCACTTGTAATCAACCAAATTAATTGTTTTATAACATATTCTAACCCATAATAACTTTATAAAAGCCATTCACTGCCTCAAAGCAATGGTTTTGGGTTCTTATCACATTTGGGACCAAATATCAACAAATCTTTCTTCTCACTTTTAAACATTCTTCATGCATCTCAAGCACTTGTAATCAATCAAATTCATTGTATTATAACATATTCTAACCCAAAATAACTTTATACAAGCCATTCACTGCCTCAAAGCAAAGGTTTTGGGTTCTTATCCCAGTTGTGACCAAATATCAACAAGTCTTTCTTCTCACTTCTAAACATTCTTCATGTATCTCTAGCACTTTTAATCAATAAAGTTCATTGTATTATAATACTAGAAGTAGACCCGCGCGATGCGCGAGATAAATTTGATATTATATTTATAATAATTTTAATATATTTTTTGAAAATCAATTTGATTGAAGTAATTAAGTAATTCTCTTCATTTTATGCACTATCTCATAGAATATTTATTTGATGTTTCCAAATTTTAATATAAAACTAAGTGTATATGTTTTATGATTATTTTGTATTATGTAGATTGCTATCTACTGCATAAATTATTTGAAATACATTAGAAATGATATTTTGTTTTATAAAAAAAAAACAAAAAAGTTAAATAATTTTTTAATTTGAATTGAAAAAATTCCATCATCAGTTAAAATAAGCATTAAAATAATTTTTTTGATTCAACTACATTAGGATACTAAGAGTAAGATTTATAGTCTTAGATCACTACAAACAACTCTTTGAACTTGTAATCTATACAAATCTACTTTAGGTTTGTCCCTATGTCATATTCGTTTTTTTTTTTCAAAAAATCATTGCGTATGAAATGTTGATTACTTTTTTCTTCGGTCTCTCCAAAAATCATATCTAATATTTTATATAGGATAATATTATATAATAACACATTAATATTTCACCTTTTTATTAGTCAACAACCTTATATTAATCCAGAGCATCAAAATAGCCTAATATTAATTACATATTCAATAAAAAACTAAACCATATGTATTCTTAAAAATAGGTTATGTTAATTAAATAAAAAGTCACATACAATTTACCATAGCCATTTTTCTCTCTACCACGATTCCCGAGAAAAAAAAAATATATTCTAATTTAAATGAAAAATTAAATAATGTAACAATAACATCATGAGAATTTATATATAAATAAATTATAGGACAATAATGAAAATAATAAGAAATAAAATTTTAGAGAAGAAATGGAAAATATTAAAATTTGAAAGAAGATATATTAGGTTAGTACCAGGTAAGTTTTCTAATTTTTCTACCAAAATGTTGATTCCTTTGTATGTTTGGATATACAAATAGTGGTCAATGTAAAGTTCATCTATTGTACTATGATCGTATAAGAAGGATTTAAAGTTATGGTTAGTTAGCCCGTAGGAGTTAAAATATTTTGTTTTAAGAAAATCTGAAGGACCAAATGTTTTGAACCACGTTTATTTTTTTTTATTTTTTAGTTTTATATTAAATTGTAAATTAAATATATATAATATATATATGATAATACATAATATTTTTTTTAAGTTAGATGCCAAGTGAACCAATAAGAAGAGAGTGAAACTTTATATATATAATTTCTGAATAATATGATAATTATTCTTTGATTAAATTTCATGATATTATATTCTATAAGACTGTTTCCTCTCTCAACTGTTTAATAATAGTAAATTAAATAAATTTTGTTTTCTAAATTAAATAATAGAATTTTTTTGGTTAAATAGTTACTTTATCTAAATATTTTAGATGTACTAATTTATTATACTGAAAAACAATCAAACTTTCTCCAATTTCATTATTTACCACATATTTCACCATGCTAAAGTAAAAAAAAAACAATTCTCTTTAATTATTTTCTTATAAACAAATTTTCCAAAAATTATAAAAATATGTTATAAAACATTTATTACCCATATTAATAACTTTAGGAAAAAATACTTTAAACGGAGGAGGAAATTTTGATATGATTTTTGAACTTTAAATCTTAAGGAAAAAAAACTCCTACCAATTTTCTTTGAATACAAAGAAAAAATTTTAACTACTCCATTTTATGCATAGTTTATACGATATTTAATTTAAATAGAAACTAAAATTAGGGAGATTTTTTTTTGAGAATTTTTGAGAAATACCCCTTTTGGTGTACCCCTTTTTAAAAATACCCCTCTTTTCTATCAATTTTCAAAAATACCCCTTTTCAAATATGAAAAATTATAAACTTTTGTATGGTTAATAAGGTACATCGAGGTTATCATTACTACTGGGAGAGTAAATCCAAATATTTATAAGGTTTTAAAAGGTTCTAAACGACATTTATAATGTTTTTATAAGGTTTTTAAAAAGTTTACACAGTTTTATAAGGTTTTTAAATGGTTTTTAAAAGGTATTTATACGGTATTTATGAAATATATATATAAATTTACACACATATAAAGATAATTTGTGTCTATAAATATAAGTTTACACATATGTTTTTGATAAATTTTAAATTTTATAGTGACTTTTTGATAAAACTAGAAAGAGGGGTATTTTTAAAAAGTGGTATTGGAAAAGGGGTATTTTTGAAATTCTCCCTTTTTTTTTTTTGCAACAATGACACTTTTAAAAAAAGCAAACAATACATATCTTATAACTTACAACACAATATCACAAATAAAATAATTTTTAAATGTTAAATTAGATATTAAAAAAAATGACACATGTCAAGAATATAGAGCGCCAAATGTCGCTTTGTGAGGCAAAGTTAGAAGAAACCTTGTCTTATTATATAAGATGTATATGTATATAAACACTAACAATACACACATTAGTCTATGTCATTGATGTGAGATGACTTCTTTTGATCCGGAACTCGGTTGCAAGTCAATTTTGTATATCCTTTTGTACAACATGTTTTTAGTCAGAAGTAGTATTTTAACTATTCTTGTCTATATATATATATATAAGTTCCTATAAATATGAGTCAACATAGACAGAAGTAGTATTTTGTATACTATTTTCAAACAATAGACCTAATACTGGTTGTTTTGGACATTATATTTGTATGGTGTTTTCCTTATTTATTTATGTTTAACTAGTTTTGTTAAGCATTCTTCCAATAATATATGTGAAGTCTTCTCATATGTCTTTTTTCTTCTTTCTAGTAGATAGAGATAAAAGATAGATAGTATATTTTACAATCCGATAACTACCTCTTTTTATTTAATTTTTGTGGGTATATATAAATAAAATAAAAGAGACGAATGTGGAAATGATGAGGGGGTCTGCAAAGAAGTCTGCCTTGCGTACGAAAACCCATAACATTGTCACATTGCAATTGCATGAGCCACACAGCCACAGTGTCATTGTCATATCATCATCATAAGTATAAATATTATAGTATTTATATGTATGCTCCTATTATTGAATATATATGCAGAAGACAAACAAATCAACAATTTCACTTTCTTTTATAGTACACATGAGAACAAAGCTTTTTGGGTCTCTCCCCCCCGGCTAAAGCGGGCGAGTTTTCTTCTATATTTTCACTTAACACATCAACACTGATTCTTTGCATGACTGACATCTCATTTTTTCTTTTCGACCACTACTTTTTCTTTTCGTATCCAAATCTATTTATTACTACTACTACTAGACTAGTAGTATTTTTATTGGAAAATGAAAAGGTCTTATATTCGTTCAGAGATTTATAAATCGATCGAATGGTTAGAATTGGCGTGCGATACACACGGTCCCATGAATATAAATTAGTACAAAAGGCAAATTCTCAATAAAACATCATGGTCAATACATGCAACAACGCCAAAATAAATAAAAATTATGCTACAATTATCTATTTTAAAAAACATTATAAGGCACAGTTTTTATATGAAAAAACACACGTTTTGGTTTCATGTTCATCCAACAAATTTAACAACAAAAAAAAAGAAGTTTTTTTTTTTCAACGCGCAACTGATATTTTCTTCATTTAAAAGAAACATATATATCTTACGTAGATGATAATTTTGATGAAGATTCCGTTATATTCAACCAATACAAGACAGTTTTGATATGTTTTTTTTTTTTCTCAGTTTTGATATGTTACAGACTTAACAGTTAACAATGATTGTCTTAGACGATAAAAATGCAAAAAGATTTTATTCTTAACAATGCAAAAAAAAAAAAAAAAAAAAGTTATCCTTCACAGGAATACTCAATCCTCAACAGTTTCTAAAATAAACATTTATCTATAACAGCTCCATCTCTATCTCCGTCCACTTGAAATACTCAAGCTGGAAACATAATACGAATTGAAGAGTCAGTATATGCATATGCTAAACCGAAGACTCGCAAATCAAAAACAGTTTTGGCAGCTAAAATGATTGTTTGAAACGCTCAAAGCCATATATAAGCGGTGAATCATATTATATATTTCAAGAAATTATATAAATGTTACTCTCTGTCGTAAGTCATAACTGCAACAACAAAAGTATGGTGTGTAAAATTTAAAGCCTAGCTAGTGTTAGATTTTGTGTGTCTCATTGTTCTTTAGTGATCACCTAAAATGGATCCAAGGTGTCAATTGCATAAAGCCGGCCCATTTGTCATCATCATCCATGGCTCATGAGGGACTACAAATCTAGCTTTTTAGCACATAATGTTCAAACATCAAATTATAAATCAGTAGTTTGTTTTTACGAATTCGATATTTTGGAACCAGAAAGTGCGGGTTCCGACATCTCAAACTACAGACAGTGGCAAGTTGCACTAAGTGGAAAACCTAATGTATTACATTTTCAAACCTAAAAAAGAAAGAGGATTAGAAAGAAGATTTTCATAAACCTTTTACTGTGTTATAGGTACACTAGAACGAACGATTTTTAAGTGTAACCGATCGGTGATGGCATGTTCGTAAATATCGGCTTAATTATAAAGTTCTTTCCGATTCGCACAAAAACCCCGGTACTTTTAAATGGTGATAATAAGCCCCTCATGTTATTGTTAGTTCAGTTTGGAAAAATCTAAAATTAACTTATCTTTAGGGACCTGTAGTGAGACAGAACCCTAATTACCCAAAAATCTCTGGTACATCAAAAACCAGAAAAAGCCCCTTTTGCTCCCTGTAATTGTAAGCTCCCGATCAAAAACCCAATCTCTCTGGTCCCCAGAGGAGATCAATTCGTGATTCTCAGAGTATCAAAGTGTGTGTGTGTGAGAGAGAGAGTGAGATAACGGAGATGGATGCTATGAGGAAGCAGCTCGATGTGCTCATGGGAGCAAACCGAAACGGCGATGTGACGGAGGTGAATCGCAAATACTACGACCGCGATGTTTGCCGTCTCTACTTATCTGGTCTCTGCCCTCACGAGCTTTTTCAATTGACGGTGCGTATACACTTCTTCTTCGATGCCTATGTTTATTTTTTATTCAGCACAATGGCTTTATCATTAGTAAAAAACCCTAATTTCCTTATCTCTGAGCTCGGGTCGATGAGGCATGATAATTTTTAGCAAGAGATAGCTTTGATACATGTTTTTTTGTAGTACTGGTATGTGTTAGTTGATATAGTGCTTTGGATAATGTTAAAAAGTTTAGCTTTGATTTGGGGAGAGGTTGTTGATTTAGGTGACAGTGTGAAATTTTTGTCCTATCACAGTGGCGCTACGTTGCTACCTGAAATTGCTACAGCATAGTCTTCGTTTTGCTCTTTTATGCATATTGAATACTTCAGAGTGCATTTTTGGGTTCAATATTTGTAAGTTGTGTTGTATATCTAAACTTGTGTTGACTCATCCTTTGTTTAATTTACTACTCTTTCAGCTAAATTGGTTTATGGGTACTTTTTGACATGTTTGTTATTACCAGAAAATGGATATGGGTCCTTGCCCAAAGGTGCACTCGTTGCAGCTGAGGAAAGAGTATCCTTTTTGAACGAAAGTGTAGTCTTCTTCTTCTTATGTGCGAGTCTGGAACCCATATTCTTTTCTAATATCCATTAAAGTTTACAGTGGAATGTTTTGCTTTAACGTCTCCTAAGATATAAAGAAGCAAAGGCAAAAGGTGTTGACAACTACGATAGGGAACTGGAAGATGCAATAGATAGGCTTATTGTTGAGTGTGATAGGAAGATTGGTAGGGCCCTTAAGCGTCTTCAGGAAGAGGATGCCAAAGCTGCCATTGCAATATCAGTTACCGAAGTTACTCAGGTGATGATCTAAGTCTCAATTCATTATGTTCTTTTTTGTTTTTATTCAACTCAAGCTTTTTCCTCATCAAATCATCGTTTCATTTCAGTCAACTGAAATTCTTGAATTATCGAAGCAAATCAAAGAGAAGATGAAGGAAGCAGACCTGCACGGTAATATAAAATAATATTATAACTTTTTTGCTGTTGAAGTGGCCACTATATGTGACTTTCTCCTTGAGGGTTTTTTGCAGCTCATATAAATCTGAAACATTTTGTGTTTGCACTTTGTTGGTAGTATATATTCATTGGGGTTTCTGTAGGCATCTTAAAAACATCTAGAGTAGGCTATCAACTTGGAAGTGCCTCTTGATATTGCTTGTTTCCACAAACAAAATTAGTTTAAATAATTTAATCAGGCTACTAGATACATATTAACTCAATTAAAGAATTTAACCGCGAAATAATATTTGAATAATATCAGCTGCTCAAGTGGTACAGTATGTTTAGATTTCTCATCTTGTGGAAAACAAAAATTTCTTGTGGTGTTGCCAGAGATGGGTCTTCACCCTTTATAACTGTTCTAAAGTTGTAAAAAGCATATTTTTCTGTATAATTGACACTAAATGGCTTGGATGTAACTGTTCAGCTAATGATTGTTGTGTGATTATAAAACTTTGGATTCTGCTATAACATTTAGTAATGATGTTTTCATGTCGCAGATCTTGAAGGCAAAATGGATCTGAAGATTAGAGCTCTTGAGTTAGTTGAAGAAATGAGGACTAAAAGAGCTGACCTACAGGTCTGTCATTATGTAATTTGCTATTTGCTGTGCATGGTACATTGTTAACAGTCAAGTCATTTGTTTTGTTTTCCTACAGGCTGTGCTACTGCTGGATGCCTTCAACAAAGATAGGGCATCCTTGCCGCAGCCTGTCCCAGCTCAGCCACCAGCTGCAGCATTACCTCCACCTGATCCTCGTACTCAAGAAATGATCAATGAGAAACTAAAGAAAGCAGAAGAGTTTGGTAAGGGGAAAACCTCAATTCATATCTGTTTCACTATATGTGGTGGTATTGAACCGATAGCTCTTTAAGTTATTATTGCTATGGTGCAAAATTGCGGTTGCTGGTATTCCTGATTTTCTTATAATTGTTACTTTCAACTTTCTTCGCCGACGTGAGTTACTGGTGGCTGATCCAAAAATTTACTTGGCCTTTTAATTAATTCTTTATGAATGTACAAAACTGAGCTTAGGAAACCTTTGTGATTGGCAATGTTAGAAGAATGCAGTTCGTACTTACATGCCTACATAAAGATCGTTTGACCTTTTTCAGTGTTGGAAACAGCCACTGCGTGGTTATGATATCTGTATGTTATTTCAGGTGAACAAGGGATGGTTGATGAGGCGCAGAAAGCACTAGAAGAGGCGGAAGCTCTTAAGAAGGTTTGTTTTCTTTCGTAAATTAGTTTTTTCTTTGGTTCTTATCTCTGAGTTTCTTCATACTTCATAGGATGTGGAGATGTTAATGTATTCTATTGACAGGGATCTCTCTTTGTCTTGGTTTGTGTATATTGTTTGAATAGTTCTGCATGTTCTTTATGTTTTTCCCTACTCACTTATGGTATATGTTTCAGCTTACTGCTAGACCAGAACCTGTAGTGGATTCAACCAAGTACACTGCTGCTGACGTGCGCATTGTAAGTCAAGATCATCATTTTTATCACCTTAACTCCGACTTAATAATCTAATGAAATTTAATTCTCATAGAGGCCTTCTAGATTCTTGATTCTTAGGTATTCATATCTAATAGTGTGTTTAGTCTGATGACCATTAGAATCTAAGGGAGGTAGTCCTACTTCTAGTATCCAAAAATAAATTGCTTTTGAAGAGAAATATAACATGTTCTCATCTGTTACCGATGTACCATTTCTATTTCTTTTGTCAGCTTGTTAATTGGTAGCCCTCATTCTCTGTTCTTTTGTTGTCTCAGACAGACCAGAAGCTGCGTCTATGTGACATATGCGGAGCATTTTTGAGCGTCTATGACAGGTTAAGTTTGGTTACTTAAAAAATTTATGCTTTATGGTTCATTGGTGTTCATAAGAAAGCTAGAGATAGATTCTTGGGTTGCATGTGGTTCATTATTTGACCCCGGCTATTGTACCTCCTTTTCACCAGCAGGCTATTTGGGCCCAGTTTTACGAGGATTACTTTTGCAGCTAATAAATGTGCGTTCTTTCTTGATTTATTGTGCCTGTTAGAGATAACTAATAGAGCCTTAAACTATAATTACGTCACCATTCTGTTATCTGCATTTGGCAATGTCAAAAATCTCTTGTATTGCCTTTAGTGATCGCCGGTTAGCTGATCATTTTGGAGGGAAGCTTCATTTGGGTTACATGCTGATCCGTGACAAATTGGCAGAGCTTCAGGTATAAACAACAAATCTTTCTACTATGATTTTCCTGTTCTGTCTCAATGTTGACTGTATAGTTATATTCTTTCTGTTTTCTTCAGGAGGAGAAGAACAAAGTTCACAAGGAACGGGTTGAAGAAAGGAGGTTTACTTTTCTCAAGCTTTTGAACACATCAGTAGTTTGCTTCCTTAATTTTCAAACATTTTTGCTGAAAAGCTAAACCAATCTCAGATCAAAGGAGAGGAGTAGAGAGCGAGAATCAAGTAAAGACAGAGACGGAGGAGATAACCGTGACCGTGGAAGAGATGTTGACCGTAGGAGTAGAGATCGCGACAGGCACCATGACCACCGTGAACATGACAGAAACTATAACCAGTCACGCGGCTACGACTCAAGAAGCCGGCGCAGTTCGCGGTCCCGGTCAAGGGAAAGACCGAGAGATTATGATCGCCGCAGGTAACTTTGATTAAGAACAGAGACACCTCTTATTGTTACTGCAAAAATTTTAGCAGCATCTAAATATTTGTTTTAAACCTTACAGACGCCATGACCACTATTAAGACCATGACAAAGATGATTGCACCGGGTTTAAGAGGTTCTTACATGCGTTTAGGATCAATTTGGAGTTCAAACCCCCTTTTTCTCTGCTTATGTGTTTTAAGGTCTTTTGAGATTGTAAGTTACTAAACTTGTTTTTGTTGACATCAAAGACTTGTGAGTAGAAAATTGTGATGATCTCATGGCTCTCTCTTATGGACAACAGCACTTTATCAATTTATTCCTTTTAAAAAACTAAGTTGACTGTTTGCACTTTACTTACAAAACCCAAACTATATAACTTCATTGACTTGTGGCAACCATTCCAAGACAACAAAATTATATTGCATACTGGATGGTAATCTACTAGCTATTGAAAAAATTAACGGCTGATTTGAAGCCGTAAAGAGTAAAAGGAGACCATACTCAAATCATGGATTGTTTAAACACAAGTGGCTTAGGATCTACGAGCGATTTAAAAGAATTGTCTGATATGTTTCTGTAAAGTTAGAATAATATAATAAAATCTCATACCAAAGAAAACATAACATAGGTTCAACGTCAAGTCAGCCTATCCTCTCCCATGTTCTCTCGATTTTCTGCGTACATGTTACTAAATATATTTGCATAATTCGAGTTAGAACAGTATAAGAAAGATACAAATCGTGACTCTACCAAAATCTAAAACCTCGTTAACCGTTCGAATTTTATTACGCCTCTTTTCATCTTGTTGCATGCGCAAAGGTGTTCGTTCAAAACACCCGATCCAGTTAGTGTCTTTGTAGCACCCAAAACAAACTTCTAGAAACATAGTATTTCTAGTTTATTTCATAAATTTTCCTACGTCCTAGTCTTAATCAACAGACAAACCTAAATATTACGCAAACATCTATATTCACAAACTATATACATGTCTATAGTTTTTCCTTTTGTCTATGTATTTACTGAAAAATATCCCCAAAAAGAAAAATGCTACTCTATCCAATAATGGAAAAAGGGAAGGTCAAAGATCATTTGTAACTCAACATCAACACACTGTATATCAGACAAGCATCTCAAAGTTTAAGCATTGTTCAATGCTTTTGATTTCCAAATAATAAATAACGGTTATCATTCATTTTTAGTGTTGAATAAGCATCTTATAATAGTGTTTGTATTTAGTTTAATGATTTCTAAGTTTATGCATGGAATCATACTAGGCAATTATTGGGACTTTGTTTTTAATGAAAAAAAAATGAATTGGGTGATGCACAAGCCATACTCTTTTGAATCGAAACCAAAGCAAAGGTCGATAAGAAAAGAGACTTGTATAATAAAATAACGCCAATAAATTAAAAGAGCTTTTCAATATATAATTAAATTTTCACTTAATTTTGTTGTTGTTTGTTTGTTAATCACTTAATCTCATGTCTTGATCCCCACTGAAACAAATTAAAGAAAGAAGATATGTATGGACAACTTTTCTGTAGTTTTTTTTTTTTCAATCCTCTCTTTTTGTTCCTAATAAACCTTTTCATTTCACAACTCTCTCGTTTGAGTTTATTTTGAAAAATAGACTACTCGAAAAACAAACCAAGAAAGCTAAGCCTATATATATACATGGAATCTTGAATGCATGTCACGTAACTCTCTTCACCTTCTCTATTAAGAAAGCCTTTTTTTCTTCTTCTTTCTCCCTTATATATATACTCTCTTACACACACACACATACTCATAGACTTCTTTATAATATAAACACATATAATACATACATACTTGCACACATTTGATCATATATACACGCACATAGTTTTGTTGTTGAAGAGAAGAAGACAGAAGAATGGGTGCATTTGATTATATCTCTAGCTTTTGTTCATATACATACGCTAATGCCAAAACCAAGCGTAAGCCATTGCAGGTCTGTTCTTCTCTCAAACACCTTTATAATTAACTCTGCTTATTCACCCTTTCTAATTTTAAATACTATCTATATCTTCAAATTGATTTGGTTTAACTATATGTTAATACGTTAAACGTGTATACAAAAAAATATTACGTTTCAAAATGTGAACATGTTCTTTTTACCCGTTTCTTTACTTGTTATTTCTTCAACTATTTCATCAAGATGACAGCAACAAGCTTTGGAAATTAGTTTGGATTTGCGATACAACATTTTGTGGTGATAGTTTTAATTCTTGAAAAGTATATGCATGTTTAGTTTGATAATTGGTACCTAATTGATGGGGTTTGTGTAGACAGTGGATATCAAGGTGAAGATGGACTGTGATGGTTGTGAAAGAAGAGTTAGAAACGTGGTTCGTCGCATGAAAGGTTCTCTCTCTCTCTCTCTCTCTCTCTCTCTCTCTCTGACTTTGAATCAAAACTTTCCCCAATCTCTCTTTTTCCCCCTTTTTGTTTCCATTTCCTTTATTCTCTACACGCTTTTTATTTTCTCTTTTAAAGATTCTTATTCCTCTCTTAAAATTGCAATTTTATAGCTGGCCTGAATATATTGAAGTTACAATTACTAATCATTTGCTTATATTAGAAAAGAAAACTATACCAACTTTTTTGTCCGAAAATATTATGGGTCAAATTGTCCGGAATCTATCTTTATTTACGTATATCAAAAGAGTCACATGAAGAATCATCCGTAAACATCAAATCATATTTTTGATTATATATACATAAGCTATAGGTTTTAGTAGTTTTATATAAAAGAATTCTTGTAACCTAAAAAAATAGTAAAAGTTCATAAATGTGTTTAATAAAATAATTCGCAAGCGATAATGCTTTTAAGCTAAAAACTATTTGTATAATTATCAAACATAAAAACTAGAATATTATGTAATCTGTTTCTATATATTTTTCAAAGTTTCAACATATACGCAGTATGATATTATATAGCACATAAACATTTTAATAATCACAAAAACCATTCTTAGAGATTTTGTTTCTCTGTTTCTAGCTATCCTATATTTCCTAAAAACATAGGAAGCTTGAAAGGCAAAACAATTTTATATAATGAAGTCCCTTAAAAGAGAAGATGATAATTTAATATTTAAACCCTAAGGTGATGTTTTAATATCTAGGCAACTTAGCTAAATGTACTGTGAAAGAGTTAGTATGGGTTTTATTATTTATCTCTGCTTTCGTTCATACACGTACAAATCCTTCTAATACATGCTGAAACCGGTTGTCACAGGCGTGAAATCGGTGGAAGTGAACCGGAAACAGAGCCGGATAACGGTGAACGGACACGTTGACCCAAACAAGGTGTTGAAGAGAGTGAAGAGCACAGGTAAAAAGGCTGAGTTCTGGCCTTACATACCTCAACATATGGTCTACTACCCTTTCGCACCTGGCATGTACGACAAACGTGCTCCTGCTGGCCACATCCGTAATCCCACTCAGTCCTTTCCAACCGCAAACGCTCCCGAGGAAAACTATGTTTCCCTCTTCAGCGACGACAATGTACACGCCGCTTGTTCCATCATGTGAGAGGGATTTTGATTATTCACAGACTCTATAAATATATATTTCTTCTCTGTAATTTGTATACTTTTTTTTTTTTTTGTCTTTTGTTACTTTTATTTCTCATAACAAAACAAAAGGTAAATGTAGAAGAAAATTTGTAATAAATTATAGAGACAACACTTAAACAGAATCATTTTGATGAACTATATTTCGAACAATATTTTTTTGAAAAAATTAGTCGAGTGGTGTTCCAAGCAGTCAAATGAAATAACCATAAGCTATGTAGAATATTAAAAGTGAAAAAATAGGTATAATAGACTAATGAAGCAGCTATTTACTTGTGAGTTTGTCTAATTTCTATAGGATGCATGTGAATGATACTTTGAAGATAATCATATATAAAGAAGGAAATGAGCAAGGAAGAATATTAGGGGAGAGACCCAAAAATCAGCATCTTGTAATTTGTTAGGCAAATTGCTTTAAATATTTTGTTTAGAATAAGCTTCAAAGGGGAAGAAAGTGTCACATTTACAAGTTCTAACTTTTCATACCAAAAGAAAAAAAACTTTGAAGATCAAAGTTGAAAAAGCTAATTGTATTCTTCATCCCCAAAAAAAAAAATGTCCGAGAGGGACCAAAGCATCTTTAGCTTTTCTTCAAAGCTTCTTTCTTTAGAAGAAGGAATATAAAGACCAGAATCACGGCAAAGGAAAGCTGTTTCATCACGGTACCGCATTACAATGAAACAGCCATAAGACTCCAGTCATTATCGTTGATGCTTTTTGGTGTTCTCTATAAGCATTGCTTTAAACCTACAAATATTCATTTTGCATTAATAAAGTAGCAAGAAATTACTGGAAACAGATTTGCTACTTGAATCACTAAAAATCAATCTTTAAAACAATGAATGAATTTACTCACCTATTAATCTATCTAGATCCTTTGAGCAAGCAAGAAGCTTTTACCGCTTCTTCGCCTTCCTTATTCTGGATTGTGACTTCTGCCATTTCTTCCTAGGCACTAGTTTACTCTTTGGCTTCAACTTTATTTCAGGGGTGAATTTGAAGTTTGGATCTCTCATTCGAGTTTGTATATCCTTGAAGAACTGCATGTTCAGTCTCTTGGGTCCACCTTTTCTTAGCTCTTCATATTCAGGTCCTGAGATAATGTTCTCGAACGCTCCAATCAGAATGTCGACATCACTCATTACTTCCCACACGTTTGTGTAGCGTCCATCAGGCCCTTTGTTCAGTTTCTTCAGCGCGTTCTCAACAGCAAGCTTCCTCGCCTGTTTACCCGGTGAAAGCTCCTCAGGTTCATTCTCAGATTTCAACAACTCAGAGATTGTCCTGTACTTTGGTTTCTCTTCAAACTCAAACAGCTTATCTAAGTATTTATCAGATGCCTCGTTCGGGCGTGGCTCTGTTGGAATATCGTCGTCATCATCACCTTCATCGCCAGTCCACAAAGTTTTTTCCTCATCACTTCCTGACCAAACACTGTATAGTTCATCACTATCATCCGCATCAACTGGATCAGAGCTATCTTTAGCTTCTTGTCTAGCTTTCTTGATCTCTTTTTCAAGGCGGGTTTTTCCACTTGCTTGTTTTGTATTATCATCGCCTTCGTCCTCACTTCCCGACCATAGAGTATCATCATCCCCCATATCTTTCTCCCAGGCTTTTCTAAAGTCATCATCACCAGGTTTCACATTGTCAAATAGATTGTAGTCTTTACCTCTCCCACTTGCATATGATCGAGTTGCTGCAAGGCAAATTTAATCCAACGAAAGTGTCACAAATATAAATCCATGAACATCACTAATAACCAAAAAATATCGAACACTGAAACTCAGCTTATAAACAATCTACTAGTATTAGCATCAACAATGAACGAATTCTGTGCGGCATTTTCACAAACACCTTGACTACTCTACTTGGAAGAATTCGAATAACAAAAAAATCACTAAACCCCAGATACCAAGTAGACTCGGAGAAAGCATAGAAACTTTAAGATCATAACAAGTTGAAGAAAAATGAAACCTTGCGAGTTGTGGCGAAACCCAGTAAATACCCAATTTTGAGTAGAAGTCGCTGAATCCGAAAGCAAGCGACTTTGTGATCTATAATTAATCAATCGAAGAAATAAGTCAGCTTCGAATTCGATTTGAACGATAAGATTATAGACTAAACTGCTCTATCTATGCCAAGAACCAACCTTTTGGTTAGGATCGAGAACAGAGAGGAGACTCTTCGCGCGAACATCTTTTTTCTCTTTTTAACGGCTTCTACATAACCGACGCCTATGAGTCCAAATTTATATTTTTCTTGGATCAAAAATATCAACCTTTTTATTGTTTTTTTAGTAACATATTTCATTGATTAATATCAAATTTTATTAATTATATACTTACAATATTTTATATTATTTGAACTCATTTAATAAAATTTCAATCAAATTTTTATGTTTTGGTGAAATTTTATTAGCTTGCAAGAGTATATATTACAATGAGCATAAGAAAAAAAAGCATACATGAAGAAAATCAAATGTCTGAAAGACTCAAAGCGAAACACATAACATGATTAAAATATTTGGTCATTATTATACAACGGTTACTAATTCTTGACTTATATGATCATATATTACTAAGGAGAAGAAAAAAGAGGTAAAAGCATTTTTGTGATTTGTCAAGCAAAATGAAAAGCATGATAACGATGAAAAAGTCAAATGGGGATGGATCTAGAGACTTTGGGATAGACATGTCTGGCCGGGTGACCCATAATACGGCGACCCTTGGCGTGTTTGAAGATGTAAACCACCGCACCAACTGGCCACTCGATGATTCCGGTTATCAGAAAAGCCACGAACCCTAGCGTTGGTCCGACCACTTTGCACCGACACGGGTTTTGCCTCGTTCCGCACTGAACACACGCCGGAAACGCCATCGTTACTTTTGAGTATGATTGATGAGTACACAAAGAGCTAACTATTTATTTTTATTGGAGTGATCAGATTCAAGGGGAAGAGTTTGAAATGTGTGATTTGATGAAGGTTTGATTTACGAGAGACGGATCTTTATAGACAAATCATTTGAGTTTTTCTTTAATATCTTTCTTTTTTCCACGTAGGGTCAAGTGTGTTCTATTTTTTAATGGTCGTAGATATTTTTGGGGTTTGAGGTCGGCTGGTTACTATTTTAGTTATTTTCTTATGTTTTGAGTTTCAAAGAGGTGTCAATAAGATAAGACACGTTTCGAGGCCAGCACAAAGGTCACTGAGAACACGTGGCTTAAGGTCATTGGTATTGAGTTGTGAAACTCTCTTACGTTTATACTATAGGCCTTTTTTAAAAAGGTCAAATTATGACTATGTCGGCGTGGCACGGCTATGATTAAGTTTATGATTAAGTCCTCTATATGATTAAGTCCTCTATGCATGTAAGAAAGATCAATCGATTGTGATTTTGATTCGGATGAAGTGTGAAGATAGACGAATATTAACTCTTCATAGATGCTAGATTTGTAGATAATCTTCTTGCATATGGTAGTATCATCTTGATTAGCCGATAACATGATCTTATCTAACCTATACGGATTCTGCAGGATCCTTGTATTTAGGGCTACAATCTCTTGCAACGTCACGACCATTGTTTTGAGACCGTGACCGGACCATTAATTACACCACCCTACATGGATTCCGGAACTTTAAAAACTGGAATGATTATTATTGGGCCTTAGGCTTTGACGATTAAATATATAGAATCCAAATCAAACTGGATCAATTTAGCCAACTTTTTGGAACAAGGGAAAACAGATCCCAAACATCTTTAGATTGAGATAAGCACGGTGTTTTGTAACGAAACACAATATGTCGAAAATAAAATCTAAATTTTAAATTGAAATAATCAAAACTAATTAGTTCCAAAATAAACCAAATATTCCAAATCCAAGATTGTTAAACGAGATAAAACCAAATCGGAACAAAGAATATTACACGGTCAAATTCTTTGAAAGAGAGATCAACACATGAAAGCAAATTCATAAGTAACATAACAAAACCAAAAACAATTAAACGTAACATGATCAAAGTGATTTCTTGTGGTTGGAACTCATCATAGTTTTAAACTCTTCAAAGTTCACAAAACCATCTCCATCTGCATCAACAGCTTGAACCATCACAACACACTCTTCCATCGTATGTTTTTCTCCTAAACGTTTCAACACAACGTGAATTTCACTAGCCGATATTTTCCCATCACCATCCATATCATACAAATCAAAAGCTTCTTTCAAGACAGTCTCTTCGTCATCTTGTTCTCCTCTACCATCTATCACCAAACAAGAAGCAAATTTCACAGCATCGATTTGACCATCACCATCCACGTCAAGCACTCTAAACATCTTATCAAGTTCTTCAGATGTTATTGAAGGAGAAAAGACGCGAATTGCTTCGGCAAATTCATTCCAAGAAATTTTTTCATCCCTGTTCTTGTCAACCCTCTCAAAGATTTGAGCAACTGACATCGTTGTTGTAAAGGATAGATGACTTAGAAACAAATAAGGGATCGATGATATGGGAGGTGTTTAACAAAATAATGATTTGATGGAGGAGATCAGAAACCAAATCTATATTTATAGGAGAAAATGCATTATTATTTAGATTCCTTAAAATCTTTTGAATTGATTTTCTACACATTTATTTCCTTATATAAATATCCCTAAACTCTTACGATTTTTATGAAAAAAAAACAAAGTTTCCTTTTAAATAAAGAAAATCTAAAATTTTCCTTTTCTAAAGAAACAATTGTGCTGCACTTCAAGAAACGTAACTATATCTATATGGAGATTAGAGATTGTTGTGCTGAGGATCGGTTTGAAGAATTATTACCATCAATGAGTTAATTGACGAGAAGCACATCTTCCAGAATGCAAACTTCTTCATCTCGCTCTTTGGAGAAGAATTGAGAAAACTTCTTCATATTATCTTCAATGAGACGTGTTTATTTGAAGATACGAAAGAATCTTCTAAGATTATATATACTGTTATCTTTTGCCGTTTATCTACAACATATAGAAGTCAATATATCAAATGAAAAAACAATAACGCTTTATTTATTTTTCTAAACAAAAACAATAAATGAAATATACAAGTGCTCAAAATCATACAGTAGTATGAATTTAATTTCATTTGGATTGTGTGTATCAGTAATTTCTGACTATTTTTGTTTAATTTCTTGTTTTTTCTTGGGATCCATATATTTGGAGTGTATATTGTGAGATACTAATTGGAGAAAGGTACTCTCAAGTCTCGACGTCATAATAGTATTATGAATTATGTAATTCTAAGATATATAATTTTGGTAAGTTTAGTTTTTGCTAAGCTAAAGACCAAGTCACATTCTAATTTTGCTAAGTTTAGTTTTAACTTGGACCATTCTCGTTCAGTTATTGTTTAATTACTCCTCCAAAAGTTCCTAAGTAAAAGCACAACCTCAATTGTGTTTTTTCACTCAAAGATATATAATTTTGATCTTTCTTTATTCCTCGACCAAAAAAGAGTTCAAAACGAAAAAAAAAATTATTTACATCTTTGAAACACACTCACTATCATCAAGACAATATGGCTGATGCGACGGAGAAAGCCGAACACGACCGTATTTTCAAGAAATTTGATGCAAACGGCGACGGAAAAATTTCAGCAGCCGAACTAGAAGAAGCTCTTAAGACACTTGGTTCGGTAAGTCCTGATGACGTGAAACGTATGATGGCTGAGATCGATACTGATGGCGATGGAAACATATCGTATCAAGAATTCACCGATTTTGCTGGTGCAAATCGTGGACTTATGAAGGATGTTGCCAAAATTTTCTAAAATGTAGTTGCCATCCTTTTTTATTTAATTTGAAATGTCTGAATTTTTGTTTTTTTACATATTGAAAGATTTGGTTCAAAGCATCGTATAATTTTCCTTTTGTTATTGTAACACTCGGTGAATTTTAATTTATATCCTAAAAGTATCATGTAATGTGATGGGAGTGTGTTGGATCATTGTTGAAAACGGAACTACAGTACAAGTTCGTTTTGTTTTGTGAATACCTCAATAACGAATATGGTTTGTTAATTTGGTTTAGGCTTTTTCATATCCAATATTTTTTTACTCATCCATATAAAATAAAAATATAACATTTTGGTTACTTTCTTTCTAACCTAGACTAAACCTCTCGACTAGCTCAACAGAGTTTTCTTGTTTCCTACTCGTTCGGTCTCGCCACAAACCTTCCACTGAAATGGACCTCACCGGAGAGTTTAAGCCTGACGCATTAGGAATCTTAGTGTCGGACATAATCTCTCACATTGATGGAGACGACCAATCCGGTAAAGCCAAGAAGATACAGGCTGAATTGGTTCAAGTGAGCATGGAGAAAAGCTTGAAACGTTTGCAAGTACACACGTCTCTAGTTCGTAAAAGGTCGAGCTTGTCCCAAGCATGAACCACACTTCTTATACAGTCTCTTCCAAGTTCCAAGTTTAAGATCTCTTTCCTCTCTAGCTTCTCTTTACGTTACATATAATATACAACGATATATGATATCGATATAATTTCTTTTTTCCATAAATAGGATATAGATATATGACTACTAATCCAGTATTGGTGTGGTATGGTTCGGGGTACTGGTTCAAGTACAAGTCGTTTTCGTAACGAATTTGGATTTGGGATCAGCACATTCGATTATGTATGTATATCAGTAAAAAGAGTCGGGACTCATATTCCTCTTTGTAAATAAGTCTTGTATGTGTATTTATACATAAATAAACTCAGGCTCAAAGGGGGATTTTATGCATAAGAGAGATTGTTCGGATTCTTTAGTTTTGACTATTCATATATTGAAGATAGTTGTACATATTGAAACATCCCCATGTTTTTATAGTCTAGTCCATCTTTTACCATATCTTCCTACACTTTTACTTTTCTTTTTTTGCCGTCAGAATTCAAGATATGATTTTAGGTTCTAATTTACACAATCGTAAGCAAAACGGTTTTGACCCACTTGATCCAAAAGCTGAGAATGAGGACCTCAAAACCGAAAAAAAGTAAAGTTTGGACTCCGGCTTTTCAGAAAAAAAGAGTCAACAGATAGGTTATATTCTTTGCACCTTTCATCATCATCATCTATCGTTTAGAGTCTTTAGACAAGACTCTATTGAATCTACTCGGTCCAATTTAATTAGTTGACAAAACATAAATAAAGATAACGTCACACTTCTTCAGTTTTAATTTCAACTATGAAAGTACTATTACTCGGTCGTGCACTCGTGCTTCACATATACACACATTTTCCTCGTTTTCGAATCTCGTGGACGACCATGGTTCCAAAAGTAAAAGAACGGAACATTTTGGGTGCAATTATCATAAAACGAAACTTGTGGGGGGGGGGGGGGGGGGGGGGGGGGGGAACAAAAAATTTCGTAATTTTATTTTTTTATATATCAAAGGAAAAAAAGTTGCCTAAGTTTTTTTTTCTTCGCGACGACGACGTATGACGTATCATCCTCTACCGCCGCAGCTCCGCCGCGAGTTTCCAAGCCGATGCAGCGATGAGCGGTTTCGTCTGCCACGCAAGCATTAGGCTACCGTCATTTTCCTCCACTTTATATCCATCTCCGCCGCCAGATATCGCCAGTAACAAACTCGCTTGGTTAAATGCGTCTGATCCGAGATTTACCTTGACGAACCCGGCGGATCCCATTCGTTTCCGCCACTGAGCCAGCGTTTCGTGCCGTTCGATCCGATCGGTTCCTTCCGCCGCCACCACGTTCAGAATCTGTCTCCCTAAGTAAACCTCCGACATGACCCGGTCTTGGCTCGGGATCACAACACTATCCTCGAGTGAGTCGAACAAGCTCGAGTAATAGTGAAGCGCTTCGTTGAACCGGTCTAAGAAAACGGCGCCGTTATGGTTCGCTTCTTGCTCAACCACAGTTACAATGCTCGGTTGAACCGCTTTAACCGTAGCTAACAGCTTTTCGATCGAACCGGGTTGAGCTAAAACCGGATGTAGCTCGAAAATCGAATTAACCACTAGAGTCTCTGATTCGGGTCTGGTTTCGAACATATCCGGTTCGAGATCGGATAATCTCTCCGTCGTTAGAGCATTGAATTCGAATTCGACGCCGATGGCTTGAGCCAGCTGAGCTAGCTTCCAACCTAACTCTTGAATCCCTTCACGATTCGACGGACCACCAACGCCGGTGAGACGAAACGACGGTGGACCACCTGCTCGGAGAGCTAACGCTTGCATTAACGCCGGCCACTGCATCCCTTGATTTAAGCCTAGATCGATTACGTGCACGCTACGCGCCACCGTGACAGCTTCTAGAATCGCTTGGTTGGCCGTGAAATGTGCGAATTTGAGGTAAGGAGAGGAGTCGTAGAAGTTCATCTGAAGCAATTCTTCGAAGGAAGGATCAATGGCGGCGGAAGAAGGGTGGATCCTGTAAATCCGACGAGCTAGAGCTTCGGCGAAGTAGGTGGCGACTTTTCCCATTGCTCCGGCCTGAGAAGCTGCGAGTGATCCCACGCGCTTCACCAGAGCGTCCGCGAGGCTAAGATTCTCCTGGTGGACCGCTTCGGCGCAGGCCACTAGCGCTTGGACGAGTCTGACTCCGGTCTCTTCGATGAGCACCACGGAACGAGTTGACTCGCTGCTAACAGAGTCACACCAAGGACCGAGTCGAACCCTCTTGCTGCTGTTGCTATAGCTACTGCAACAATCGTCATCGTCTGTGATTGGTCGCAGATCGCAAATCCGGGTCGTCGGGTCAAGATCCGGGTAGTAGTTGAGCTCGGAGAGCATGGTCTGAGCCCATCCGGAGAGATCAGAAGGGTTGTAATGAACCGTGTCGTTTAAGAAATTATAAGAAGAGCCAACAACATCATCACTGTCGTTGGTCAACACCATTTCAAGCTGTTCAAGCTTCTGTGCAACATCCGCCATGTCAGATGATCGAACCTTGTACCCTAAAACAGAGAGAAGCTCGTCTATGTTATCGTCTCCACCACCACCACAACCAATGGTACCTTCAAGATTCTTGCCATAATCGGACATCGAAAGAGCTTCTTCTTTTACAGACGTTTCTTGATGGGTTCGTTTCATGATCAAGAACTAGGTTTGGTGATTGTAAAAGTTAAAAAGAGGAGCTAGTGTTTGGGATTTGGTATAGACAAGAAAATGAGGAAAGAAAGGGAGAAGAATTTAAACACGAGAGAGAGAGAGAGAGGTAGAGAGGTCCAATGAGAGAAGTGAGGGACCTGGAGAGTGTGTGTAAGTAAAGAGATAAGAGCACAGATGAGGCAGTCCATTATAATTTCGCATGTGTTTGTTTTGCCCTTCTTCTTCTTCTTCAACTTTTTTTAATTTCTTTGTATAAATGGTCCAATGAGACTCTGTCACCTAAACTAATTTTTTAATATCCCACTAAATGTTGAATTTAAAGTTTCCAAAAATATTAAAATGAGTGCTGAAGTAGATGACGATGATGATGACCCAAACAGTTCACTGAAATAGTAACTTGAGAGCAAATTGTCCAAAAAGTAATTAACACTTTTCTTTAAGTGTCTCGTTTATTTTATAAGAATTTAACTACTAACTATACAAACATGACATAAAAATATCCTAAATTATTTAAAGAATCTAAAGTTTAGAATAAAAATAGAGGTTCAGTTCAGCGATTGAAGTACAGCTCAGAGTATTTGAGTTTGGGGAGACAACGTGGCCTACCTGACGGTTGACGTGTGGCGGCAGTCGACAGATAGCCTACGAGAGACGTCCACAACATTACGTTACTTTTTATTTATTTTATTCTGATTCATTTTCGGGCAAATAAATTAATCATTATCAACATACTATACATCAGCGATAGCCACAATATACAAAATCCATTTCCTTTTTGGGGGTCAAATCCATACGTACGCACACTTTATTGGACCATAAACAAAGTTCCTAAAATAAGCTGTTGATAGTTAACCTATCAATCGTATTATGAGAAATTTCATCAATCTATAGTATTATATAGAAGAGATTTAGAACCTCGAAGTGAACACATAATTTCTTCTCTAAATTTGTATACCGTACGTTTGTTCTTCTTGTATGCCTTTCAGAGGAAAGGCAAACACAAATAAACAACGAGATCACCTAACGAACCGGAACATTATGGGATTTTACACAAGTTAATTACTCTCTCGACATTTCAGGCTGATGATCTATTGACTTATCCTCTTTAACTATATTCGAACAGTTAAAAAAAAAAAAAAAAAATACTACACTATAGATTATCCAAAATGTGTGGCAAGAAGATATTTATCCACAATGTTCCGTAAAAACCTCATCAAGTAATTACATTTTGAAACCTATATATCATCAAACTAGAACCCTGATATATTTAGTCATTTATCTTTTTTTTTAAAACTACTCAACAAATCTCCTGATATCGTGACAAAGACCTTCCATTTCACGTTATATATATACATACATAATGATCGTTCCTCAAACACAATCTCACTACGAAAATTAGCATGGCGAAAACAATCTCTCCTATAACTCTCTTTTTGTTCCTACTCTTGTCATCACTATCTCTAACCCTAGCAACAGATTATCCATTATCCACAAAGTCACGATGGATAGTAAACAACAAGGGCCAACGCGTCAAGCTTGCTTGCACGAACTGGCCTTCGCACCTTAAGCCAGTGGTGGCCGAGGGGCTGAGCAGCCAGCCAATAGATTATATATCGAAGAAGATAAAAGACATGGGTTTCAACTGCGTTAGGCTCACTTGGCCACTTGAGTTAATGATTAATGACACTTTAGCCTTCAATGTTACCGTCAAACAATCATTTGAGAGATATGGATTGGATCATGAGCTTCAAGGGATCTACGCTCACAATCCATCCATTGTCAACATTCCCCTCATCAATGTCTTTCAGGTAATATATACATACACTATTAATAATGTGATACATTACAAGAAAAAATAATAATAATTTCACTATTTTTGTTATATTATTTCTACAACTCACTATAAGAAAAGATTTTGAATCCTAGCTTGTGAAATTAAATATCAAAAATGAAATAATCTACTCCACTCATTTTCTGTTGAACATTCATATGTATACGGTATAGTGGTTTCTACTTTCTAGTGAATATTGTTATTTGTTTTAACTTATATATAATCGTCTAACGCAAGGTAACACTTTGCGCAGGCGGTGGTATATAGTCTTGGAAGGCATGATCTGATGGTAATACTTGACAACCATAAGACCGTACCGGGGTGGTGTTGCAGCAACGATGACCCGGACGCGTTCTTCAACGACCCAAAATTCAACCCGGATCTATGGATGCTAGGTCTTAAGAAGATGGCCACAATTTTTTTGAACGTAAACAATGTTGTCGGTATGAGCCTGAGGAATGAGCTTAGAGGCTACAATCATACAGCAAAAGATTGGTACAAGTAAGTATATATATAAATTCCTTTTTTGGTCTTTATTTGTAGTGCCCATGTGAAGCTTGAAAGCCAAGGAAATTAATGCACGTTAATTATCTAGATCTTAACTGATTATATTCCCGTCTTGTGCTAATAATTAAATTCACAATAATGATTTAATTAAGTACAAGTACATCTTACAAAATTAATTTTATCGGTTGATATAGGAATCCAATGTTCGTAAAATAACAACAAGAATCAACGCATAAATGAATAAACTAATCTGATACCATACCAACTCTTTTTCTGTTTTTTTTTTATTTTTTTTTTTATTGTCTAAATTCTGATATTTAGAATTGTTTAATAAAATATTTTCACATATACGTAGATACATGCAGAAAGGAGCAGAGGCAGTGCATACATCAAACCCTAACGTCCTGGTCATACTCTCGGGGCTCAGCTTCGACGCTGACCTAAGTTTCTTAAAAGATCGTCCAGTTAGTCTTAGCTTCAAGAAAAAACTTGTCTTGGAGCTTCATTGGTATGCTTTCACCGACGGTACTGGTCAATGGAAGTCACACAATGTCAATGACTTTTGTAGCCAAATGTTCGCTAAAGAGCGTCGTACTGGCGGTTTTGTTCTCGAACAAGGCTTTCCTTTGTTCTTAAGTGAGTTTGGGACAGATCAAAGAGGTGGCGATTTTGAAGGAAACAGGTACATATACAATCACATTTATCGATCATAGATCTTTTCCCTGAATTCACATTTAACAAAAAGTAAAACGTTATTATATATGTATTTGAATTTATATTATGTAAACGCAAACTTATTAGTTGCGGTTAAACAACCAAACGATTAGATTATTTTCACCAACCGTTACATTAGGTACATGAGTTGTATGTTGGCATGGGCGGCTGAGAAAGATATGGATTGGGCGGTTTGGGCGCTTACAGGAGTTTATTATTTCCGTGAAGGCAAACGCGGTGTAGTCGAAGCTTACGGTATGTTAGATGCGAACTGGCACAATGTTCATAACTCTACTTATCTCCGTAGGCTCTCCGTCATTCAACCACCGCACAAAGGTAAAACAATCTTTGCTTGCATTTCATGATTTAGATACACGATTGATAGAAGCTTGACGTTAGTTTATGAACAGGACCCGGTATAAGGCGCAATCATCACAAGAAAATATTCCATCCGTTAACCGGACTCTGCCTAGTGAGAAAGTCACCGTGCCATGACTCTGAGCTCACGTTAGGTCCATGCACAAAGGATGAACCGTGGAGCTATTCTCATGGAGGCACACTTGAGATCAAAGGTGGTCACAAATCCTGCTTAGAAGGAGAAACGGCGGTAGGAAAAAGCGTGAAACTCGGCAAGAGATGCACAAAGGTTAAGCAAATATCGGCCACAAAGATGCATTTGTCGTTTGAGACTGATGAGGGTTCGTTGGTATGCTTAGACGTGGATTCGGATAACAATGTTATTGCTAATTCATGCAAGTGTTTGACCGGAGATGTTAGTTGTGAACCTGCAAGCCAATGGTTCAAAATCTTCTGAGGTATCGGACCAATTATGAGAATAACAATGCTTACAATAAATGTCTAATAGGATAAGTGAAATGTTAGGTGTTTTCGGATATGATCTGAGGCTTTTGTATTTTTTTTTAAAAAGTTTGGAGATCCATGACTTCTGAAATATATTTTGAGTGCCGTCACATGACTAAAACTACAAGTCAAGGAAAACACTCTCAATGATCTTTTCTTATGTTTGCCTTGAATGCTTACATTATGTAATTAGCAGTGATCATTTCCTATTCTAATTACTAATGAAGAAACAACTCTTACAAAAACATGAGATTCTCAACCTGATTAGAGGAGACAGCCTCTGTTATTCCGTCTATGTCATTTATTCTCACACTTTTTTTCTACAGATCAAAATAGACGAACACTAAATAGTGATGAAGGCACATAAGTTGGTGCAAATATATTCTCATCAATGTTAGTGCCAGTGGTGCAAAACCCTTGCAACAAATGTAGAGTTAAATTAGGCAAACCAAAAATCTTCTGCAACGATTCCTCAATCACAAGTACAATATTACAATATTACAAATACAACAATCACTATCAAATCCATACACATATAATACATACACATATAATACTTGACCTGAACCCAGTACTTGGCATGTATATATATATATATATCAGCTTGAATATAGTTATGAGCATTATCAAGAGAAACTAGAACTTCCTTTCCAGCTTCAAATACATGAGACTGCAAATGGTCTCCACCTTGGTCATCTACCGGCTATTCAAATCGAATTCTCCTGCTTCACGCCAGTTTTCCTGTTCACCCGTCTCCCCATTCTCATTCTCCTCATCATTCAGGAAATCTTCAGAAGGTTCCTTCTCCTCTTTCTGGCTGTTGTTTCCCCATCCATTCATCATCTCATCAGGGTTCATGTTACGTCCCTGTTCTCCCATCTCGTGGCTTAGCGGAATACTGCTGCCCTGATTCCCAACCGCATTAGCTCTCAATGGGTTACGAGCCATTATTTCGGCATGAGATTGTGACTGTCCAGCTTGAGCTAAAGCCGCCATTCGCAACTTAGCCTCCTGCGCTTCCCTGCCAGCCTTCTCCCTATCCATTTCTGCTTTCAGGTCAAACAGTGCTTTCCTTTCTTCTTGTAGCAAAGCTTGTTCTACCATCAACCTTTCCTCGGATCTGAATTCTCCCATTGCTCGCTTTCGAGTTATTATGTTAAAAGCTAGGGCTTGTTTCTCAAACGTTGCAGTAAATTCAGCCACTTTAGCAGCAATGTTGTTATCCCATTGTTGAGAGCGGGATAAGGCCTGGCCTGTTGGGTCTGAATCAAGGATTCTATCATCCTCTTCTGCTTCGTAATCTGCTACGACATGATAAGGTAATAATCTGCATAGATTGTAAGAGAACACGCATATGAGTAATGACCACAGCAAACCATATACAGAATGTTCAAACAAGGCAATGTATCTATATACCAATTACGAATCTAATACTCAGATGGAACCTTTTCACATAGAATAAATGTCAAGAGGAGTGTCCAGCAAAAGGAAGCATTTATAAATTTGACGAGAAAAAACAGGTTGTAAATTTCACATTAAGCTCAAAACAACGAGCATGCAGAGATACCACATTGATCTCATAAGAAAAACCTAATTTCTTACAGACGGGAAAATCGATCTCATACTAATCAAACAAGACTCGATAAGGGAACTAATTTACAAGATGCAGCATCTAGCATTTTCAGAAAGATATCTATTCAAAAGAACTCAAGCTTCCAGTAGACAAAGATCCTTTTTTGAATCTATAGTCACAAGCTATAATTAACGAAATGGCTCTATATAATATATCATGAGTTCAAAACGGACAACATAAAGCCTTTGGCGGTTCCTTAAGGAGATGAGAACTCAAACCCAATAACTGTGATAGATCATTAAAGCCAATCATTAACACATAGATCACATAGAGAAATGCTTGATATCATTAACTGAGACTACAAAATTATACTACTAAATTGCTGTGATATCGATTTTTCTTCCACGAGGAGAGGTGGCTTTGATGAATTCTATAAAAAAAATAAAAAAATTTTTGATACAACTAACCTCTCGCAAGCATCTTCGAGAGAAGAGAAAGGTTGTTTGAAATCTGGGTGACAAACACGCCAAGCGTCCTGATAAGCGCATTGAAGCTCAAGGTGATTCAATGGCCGCATAAGTTTCTGCTGCTGCTGCTGCTGTTGCTGTTGTTGCTGCTGCAGCATCTGTTGACTCGATACAACCTGCTGCTGCTGTTGAAAACCCGGTGTTGTCTGTCCCAAATTAGAGCTAGGATTAGGGGTAGGGGCAGTGTTCTGCTGTGGCGGATTAATGGGTCGGTTCTGGATTAACCCTGGAGGTCGGAGATGAACGTCGATGTTAGATGGGAATCTAGACATTGCTGCTTGTTGCTGCTGTTGATGTTGCTGTTTCTGCAATTGCTGCAATAGAAGCATTTGTTGTTGTTGCTGTCGCTGCTGTTGTTGTAATTGGTGTTGATAGAGGAGTTGTTGTTGTTGTTGCTGTTGTTGTTGCTGCTGCTGCTGCTGCTGCTGCTGCTGAGGATTGTTTCCTCCCAATGGTGGCTTCGTGTCCTCCATTTTTGAGTCTGTCAAATTTTGGGATTCTAGGGTTCCACGGGAAATGTTCTTCGCCGTGAATAATGGTGGATGGTGGAGCCTTGAGAGGAGACATGTGATTTATCTGGGCTTACATAATTGGGCCTATTTAACTAAAGACCCAATATATCTAGCCCAACTGCGTAGACTGAACCGGGAAGCCTACTTTAAACGATAACCAAAAACTGAACCGGGAATGTCTCAGTTTTCATTTCTGACCATTCAATTTCAAAAGTTAACTTCGTCATTGTCACTTCACTTGAGATATTATTGCCCTTAATTTTTTTTTCAAATTTGTAGATAAGCTAATCGGCGGCAGAAATTATGTTTTTAATATATGATTCAGAGGAAATAATATTACACAAAATGGTCGTTTTATACAACAACTTAGGAAAAAGAATAAAAATACATCTATAGCCTATGGACTTGCTTGAAACACGTGGAGGGCGTTTATACTCTTATGTATTGAGTTTATGGTCCAAAAACAAGTTCTTTCAAAGATCTAAATGGCGAGTTGTGACCATAAGCCACTGCATCTCTCCACAAAGCCAGTCCTGTTTCACACAGATGGGAAATAAGACAATGCAGTTTTGTTTAGACAGAGTTTTATGAACAAAAGTATATAATTGGAAGGACGATAATGTAAGAGAGGATCTGTGAAGCTGCTAACCTATCCATGAGATCAAACCAATCGTAGCTGCCGCGAAGAATGACGTGCTGGTGCAGTTAACCCTATAGAGAGTACCAAATTATCAATAAACTCATATACTCATGTACTCAAGACATAAACTATTCAAGAGAGGTTTGCAAGGATTCTTACATGTATAAGCAAAGGATGTTTCCATATCCATAAAAGAGAGTTGCCCATAACGAACCAGTGAGCCTGCGTCACGGTTTAATGAATTTCAAGTGGTTTGTTACTATGGGTGAATATAGTTTTAAGCTGCAAGGGTTCAAGTTGAAAAAGCTCAGATTTGTTACCACATCAAATCACGGATAAATAGTGCTCGTGGGAGCATAAGACCGTTTCCCATCATCGAGAGCAACATTGTGATTGACGATAAGCCTTTTATGTTGTTCGGGTTTAGGAAATTTGTCCACTGCAATGTAGAAGAACATCAGATATCCAATAGTCAAAGAGCATTTAGGAGAACGTTTAAAGAAAGAGAGAGAAAACGAGCTGTTATACCATTTGAGAAACTGGCATCCACATGAACATAAGAGTTGCGGTCCATCCAGATAAAGACCCAACAAAGTTAACACCTTCCTCTGAGAGTTTCCCAGTTCGAGCCTGAATTCTTACCAGACAAAAGTTAAGAGAAAAGTAGAATTCTTCATCTAGATAAACAAATTGTTTAAAACAACTACACATCTTAACAGTTCAAATCATTCACTGCAGCCATCATTTCTATAACTGAAAACTCCTATGTTTCCTGACATGGTGGTTTTGTTCATAAATCCCAAGATACAACACACGGATTAAAGTGAAGTTGCAACGCCGAAGATTCAGAAATTAGCTCAATGCACATCAAGGACCAAAGTTTAAGAATGCCCTCAGCATCTGTAAAACAATTCAGTTTCTGAAACCACGATTCTGTTGAAGTCTTAGTTTCCAGTCTAAGTAAAGGTTTGAATATAATCTCAAAAGTTTAAGAATTCCCTCAGCATCTGTAAAACAATTCAATTCCCACAACCACGATTCTGTCGACGTCTTAGTTTCCAGTCTCCTAGAGGCTAGAGTGACCGATATGACTATCCAATGTGAATAGATTACTTTTAGAGAAGTAAAGCAAAAGTATTTGAAAGCTTACCATAATTATAGCAGCCACAGAAATAGCAAAAGCAATTGTCCCAGGCAAGATACTGCTTGGTACAAGGGGAACAAAAGTTGACCACATGATCTGCAATTTCATATTCAGAAGTGTTGAATTATATAAACATGTGTCTGCTCTAATGGCTTTGGATAACATGTCAATGGAATCTATTATGCGAACCCAAAACTTGAGGGGAAAAGAGTAGGAAAGAGAAATTACTTGAGGAAGAACGGAGAGTCCACCAATAGTGATAAAGTCCTCCCACAGTCGCCACAAAGGTTTGCTAAGCTTACCGAAATAGTACAAACAGTTCAATATGAGACCAAACATCACAACGGCAGAAGTAGCAACAAAATAGCGCATAGGCATTGCTTCAGCCATAGTGAGCTGTGCAAGCACAATGTGAGTAGAGACCACTCCCAGCGTTTGCACTATAGCTGCTTCTTTTTCTCTCTTCTTTGCAAAATATGAAAGCAACGAAAGGTTTCCTAACAAACCAACCAACATACCCTGTATTCAAAAATGTGCAGTTTCACCTCAAGAACAGAATGATATATGCTTCTTGCTTATCCTTTCTATAAAGTTACATACACTTAAAGACCAAATCAAACTTAGCAGTGTATACATAATTTTAGAGAAGTGAGAGTTTCGTGGATCAAGATTCTATTACCAGCCACGGAACAGCAGAAAGGGCGGTATTGTTTCCCGCCAAGAGATTCTGGGAATTGAGGATGATCTGAGGCAATTGCAGCATCAGAAATGGAATGTTTGCTCCACCGGAGAACTTGGCCGTCCATGAATCCCATTCTTGGTATTCCTTAAGTTTACCAAAACCTGGAGATCCCTTTGAGAATGAAAAAAAAAAAACCCAAAATTCAAAAACATACAGCAACCAAATTATCAAAAACATTAGCTTTTGATTCTAGGACTCAAGAGCTCATAAGCAAGATTGCGAGTACAAATTCTCCAGAACAAAGCGAAAACCACCAACAATTAAACGAAATCATAATAAGAGACCTTCTTCACATTTGAAATGCAGTCATAGCTCAAATTTGTGTAAAGCCTCTCTCACCTGCTGGTTCTCGTGAGGGAGGTCCGAGTCCGAGTCAATTGCACGAACAGGAACAAGTCGGCGAGTCGAAAGAATCGGATTCCGCCGGTTCAGAGTTAAGCCATTGATGCCGGAACCAGCACCACCAAGTGTACACGCACGCTTCAGGGGGAGGCGGGTTGTAGAAACGAAGGAAGAACTCGGAGAAGTGGGGAATATGAAAAAGCGGTCACCGCCGAGAGACGTCGCGATGGATTTAGCTTCCATGGGAATGGGAAGAAGTTATTATTATTATTACTCGTGCTCTCGGAAGTCGGAACAGAGACGGAAGAAGGGGTACATCAGTGAAATCAGAGAGACTGTGATGTTTTATTGGGGGAAGGGGATTGATGCCACGTGGATGCTATTATCGTAAATTGTAGCCACTATCATGTGCTTGTTTGTAGTGATCCTAGATTTTCTTCAGCTTCGATCACCGTCGTAGAGTATAGCCGTAAAAGTAATCTGTATTGTACTAATTTTTAAATACTGCGGTCTTCTTAAGAATGGCTTTGAAAAGCCCATATTTACTTTCGCGATAAAAATAAAGCCCATTAAAACTATTGTGTTGGGTTAGTTAGCCCTCTTTGACGTATTTGCCATTCACCAACAACACAGTCGAAGTCTCTCCCTCACAGCCTTCTGCAATCTTCTTCTTCCAATTTCCAAACTGAAATAAAACTACTCTCGCCTGAATTTCGTGAGCTCATTTTAGCGTCACCAATGGAAGGTAATAATTCCTTCAGCGATTATAATATATTTTGACTCTTCATAAGTTGATCTCCGTAATTTCGATTGTGTGTTGTAGTCATGCTTCCGCAGTTGGATCCAGTTAACTAATATTCCTAGTGTTTTCTTGTTCTCGGTGTTTGATTCGGTTCGATGATTTTAAAGCTCTAATCGGAATGAGTTTAGGATTGGAAATTGTCTTTTAAAAAAGATAACGTTGACGACCGTGTTATGCAGTATCATTTTGTAGTTCTCTGATAGAAATCTGATAGTTTCCAATTTTGAATCACAACCAAAATTCCTGATGATCTAACCTGGTTGTAGCTTCTTTCTGCACTTTCACTTTTTTTTTTTTTTTTTTCAATTCATCGACTCTGCATTTGTTGATAAAGCTCTAAGGGAAACGCGGTGCATTAAAGCAATGTAATATGTAGAGATTGTAGTATAGATATAATGAGATAGAGAGACCTCCTTAGGAAGGTAAGCTTTATGGTAGCTCAGATTGTACGGGGAGGTGAGAGAACTCCAGAAACTCTCTCTACTCTTTTTGAGAAATATTGGATTCAGTTTTCATTTGATAGCTTAAAGCCTATCCTTTTTTTATGTTTAACTTCGAGAAACAGAACTTTAAAAACAAAAAACAAAAAGCTAATAGAACTATGAATTCTTATGCTGGGTTTTCTTTTCAGGGAAGGTATTACAAAACTTTAATGTAGTACAGAGCTGCTACCTACAAAATAAGCTGTTTAAGACACGATACCAAAGACAAACCGACCCATACATGTCTGCTTTACTTACCTGTCCGAGAGGGAAGCTTTCATGGCACCTCAACTCTTCCATGCGTGCCCACTCTTTCTCTAAATACCAGTCTGCTATTCCAAAGCAAACAACTTTTTACTGCAATGGTCTGTTCTAGACCCTTGATAGGCTTCAGCTTTGTCACTGATTCACGCTTTTTGCTTTCTTTCTTTACTCTGTATTTTCTAGGCATCAACCCTGCATTCTGTATGGTTTCCTTTTGTTGCTTAGCAATAGGGTGTGGTGTTTCTCAAACCTCTTCCTCTTGTTGAAATTGGTGCCTTACTTTTGATCTTTCATTTGCAGCTGCTTCGTCAAGTGCTACTGCGCCGTCTCTTGACAAAATTGATTTCATGAAGCTTCAGAACGGCAGGTGAATACATCACTTACCAGCTAATTATTGCCAATATTTCTCTGTTCAACGACATGTAGAAAGTACTATTGGCATTCACATTTTGGAATGGTTCCACTTCCATGTTATCTTTTCTCTTCAACAAATATCATCATGTAAGTCGTTTTGTTACCCTAGTTGACTCATACTACGCTTCATTGTTCCCTCCCCAGCGATATTCGGGGTGTAGCGGTCCCTGGGGTTGAGGGGGAACCTGTAAGCCTTCCTGAACCAGTGACTGAAGCCATTGCTGCTGCTTTTGGGCAATGGCTATTACACAAGAAGAAGGTTGAATCCCGGCGTTTGAGAGTATCTGTTGGTCATGACTCTCGCATATCTGCACAGACCTTGTTGGTATGAATCTATTTCCTTGATTTATTGGATCTTTTCCATGTGGCAATAGTCTAGACTTTTATTATTCGCGTCTAAGTGTTTATTCACCAATCTTGCCCAATACGTTTTTCAGTTCTGGGAAAACTGTCTCTGTATGCAATGGAATAAGTAATTTTTCCTCTGGCAATTCCATTGTTAATTTTGCAGGAGGCGGTTTCTCGAGGTCTTGGTGTTTCTGGATTAGATGTTGTTCAGTTTGGGTGAGTGATGACTAGCCTTTGTTGTTCTGGAATATTCAATTTATGCTGACATAAATGAGAATTTCATTGTATTATAATAGCCACATGTAACTGGATGTCGTTACAAAATTATAATCGCACTTGTAAATGGAAGCCATACAACAATCAAGAAATTTGATAAATCTCTTGAATGTAGTGTTGCTGGGTCATATGGTTGTTTGAACTACAAATCCAATAAAAGTTATTGAAGCAAATGTCTTGAATATTGGTTTACGTTTTTTTACAGATTAGCATCAACACCAGCAATGTTTAATAGCACATTGACTGAAGATGAATCATTCTTGTGCCCATCTGATGGAGCTATCATGATAACAGGTACTTTATTGATCTCGATTTTCATAACCTGTAATTTTCCTCTTTATAGTAGTCAGCACTAAGAGAGAATTTTCCATTTTGTACTAAAAATGGTATGATGCTTTTATTGAGCAGCAAGCCATCTTCCTTACAACAGGAACGGCTTCAAGTTCTTTACCAGTGATGGAGGGCTTGGAAAGGTTGATATCAAAAACATTTTAGAGCGAGCTGCAGATATTTACAAGAAATTTTCTGACGAAAATCTGAGGAAATCACAGAGAGAAATTTCTTCTATTAAAAAGGTTGACTACATGTCAGTATATACTTCTGGTCTTGTAAAGGCAGTTCAGAGAGCAGCAGGAGGTTTAGGTATTACTCCTTTGAGATATTTGTTTTTTTTAAAGAAATTATTGTCCTATAATCAATAAAGTTCTGAACATACATTTATCTGTTGCTATATAACAACCTTAATTTATTTCGTTTCTGACTCTTAGAGAAACCTCTGGAGGGATTCCATATAGTTGTGGATGCTGGAAATGGAGCTGGAGGATTTTTTGCTGTAAGTTTAGTGCTCATGTTTCTTACTTTCAGTTGTAGGTGATAGGACTTGAAACTGAAATTTCTTTTAGTTTGTTCTATTAATCCAGTTACGTTATAGACCTGTCCGCAGTCGACTGAATCTTCATCTGAAACCTGACAGGCGAAGGTGCTTGAGCCTTTAGGAGCAATTACTTTGGGCAGTCAGTTTCTGGAACCAGATGGTAAAATCTAAGCGTATGGGTATGTCTTGGCGTCCTATTTTAATTAATAGTTTACTAAATCTTATAGATATCAGGTATGTTTCCAAATCATATCCCTAATCCGGAAGATAAGTCGGCAATGGAAGCTATAACCAAGGCTGTTCTTGATAATAAGGCTGATTTGGGTATCATCTTTGATACTGATGTTGATAGGTAGTACTCCAGCTATCTCAGTTACTTAGGAGAATGTGTTAGATTGCCTCTGACGAACAACTTTATGAAGGTGTGCTGCTGTGGATTCTACGGGCCGTGAGTTCAACCGTAACCGTCTTATTGCCTTGCTTTCGGCCATTGTTCTAGAGGAAGTGAGATATTCTAACCATTTCACCACTACGTGATTAGGTATCATATATATTGTATAATAACAGAATTTTATATCTTGATGTTCTTTCCTTGTCCATCCAGCACCCTGGCACAACTATTGTTACGGACAGCGTCACTTCGGATGGTTTGACCACATTCATCGAAAAGAAGCTTGGTATGCCAACAATTTACCACCATGTTGTTTTATTTTTCTGTGAATTTTTCACTGACCCAAATTTGTTACAGGCGGAAAGCATCACAGGTTCAAAAGAGGCTACAAGAATGTCATTGATGAAGCTATTCGCTTGGTAATAAATCTAGATGATCAGATCTTTCAAGAACTCATGCTTTGGTGCCAATTGTTGTTAGATATTTAAGTAGCGCTAGACTTGATACAGTGTCTAAGAGTGTTGACCATAAAAAAAGTGTATATTATTAAGGTTTACTTGAGTTAGATAGAGAATCTATACATTCTGGCAGAAGAAGTTTACTCCTCCTTACGCACAATTAACATTTTCCGTATAAAATATGAGTTGTGATGTGATGGCAGAACTCCAACGGAGAGGAATCACATCTGGCTATAGAAACCAGTGGTCATGGAGCTCTAAAAGAAAACCATTGGCTCGATGATGGGGCCTATCTCATGGTTAGATTATTTTCTCAGTTACATGTTTACAGCGGACTGAAGAACAGAAAAAAGAAACTGAAGTTTGCCCGCAGGTAAAAATTTTGAATAAACTGGCTGCGGCCCGGGCTGCTGGTCAAGGGAATGGCAGCAAAGTTTTAACAGATCTTGTTGACGGTTTGGAGGAGCCCAGAGTGGCTTTAGAACTGAGACTTAAAATTGACAAGAATCATCCCGACCTTGAAGGAAGGTATGATTGATGACTTAGCTTCAGTTCGTGACTAGTTTATTTATTTCCTTTTAGTGCAGTTCTCTAACCACTGGAAATTGTAGAGATTTCCGGGAGTATGGAGAGAAGGTCCTGCAACACTTGTCGAACTCAATAGAATCAAATCCAAATCTTAAAAGAGCTCCAGTTAACTATGAAGGGGTGAGTGTTAAATTGCCATCTCCCTAAAATCTGCGTCTACTGCATAATATGAATCTATCCATTTCTCTTTGGAAAAATATATATATATAGATCCGCGTTTCCGGCTTTGGTGGATGGTTTCTTCTCAGACTTTCTCTCCACGATCCTGTTCTTCCCCTTAACATTGAGGTAACCATATATGTATAAAGCTTGACTTTATTTAGGTAACCAAATACTCACTCAGATTCTCCAATGGGACGCAGGCACAGAGTGAGGATGATGCTGTGAAGTTAGGCCTCGTGGTCGCTGCAGCAGTGAAGGAGTTCAATGCTTTGGACACCTCTGCCTTGTCCAGCCTCACTCACTCCTAAGACTGGTGTGGAACAATGTAGGTACTTGGTTTCTCTACATCGTCTAGTAACTTTCTTGTGTTTGTTCTTGTTGTCTGGTTCAAAAACGAAAATCTGTTCAGAGTCTTGTTTATAATCAAGAATATACTGTACCATCTTTTGATCTTCGAAAAACAAATCATTTCTCAATCTTTCAAATCCCCCAAGCAACAAATTATTAACAATCATTGCATTGAGATTTGAGGTTATCAATAAGGGAATTTTATAGCATTTGGTTTTGGTCACTTGATGGAGATTGAATTAGCACCAACTTCTCAGATTTCTCTTGCTATTTTACATTAGAACATCGTATGATTTAAACATCTTCACCACATATAATTCTCTAACATCATATGATAGGGTAACCCGATTGGAAATGCAGATACCTAGTTCTTAAACCCCAGTAATCATTTTACAGAGAAGACAATATCAATTTATCAGGGCTTTTGACTCCTCCATTGGATGCTAATTGACTGCTAAAAACTCCCTCGAGCTCTTTCACAAACCTTTGCATCGCCTTCTCTGGCAAACAAATCGGTACGATGATCCCTGTCTCACCATTTCTCTTCTCAGCTGAGACGCAGAAGCTAGAGCCTGGAAAATCCGCAACTCCAGCTGTCCCGATTCCACCGTAAACCGGTTTCCCCCAAATTCCAAAATCGATGGCTGAAAAAATTCTCACATCCGATACCAGGAAGGCTCCGTCTGACGAGAAGCTTGGTCTTCCCTTTTTCACCATCAGATTCACAAGCGAACGCATGTACCCTTCAGTCACACTAGATTTCGCCTCTTTTGCTAGTCTCAGAGCAAACTCTAACGGTTTCTCAGTTAAATCTTTAGCGGTTACGATTGCTACTGGGAACGCAAACGCGTTTCCATAGTATCCTGGAGACAGCGGTGGGGTTTTAAGCTTAGAACGCGCGTTGACGATGAATATAAGTCGCATCTCCTTATTGGGATCAGGTCGTAGAGCGATTGTGCGATAACGCCATAGGAATGAAGTTAGTGTTTCTATATCGGTGCTGCTATTGACAAGATTCAGTGGCAGGAGCCTCCGTATAGCTGACATCTCCCTCTGGCCGAAGAAGAATGACCGGACTACCAGATTGTCTCCTTTACCACCGTTCTCAACACCAATTACCGGCATTTCGTCATACTCTCGGTGTGCGTGTGACACAGGCAACGGGACCCTGGTGCTCAGACGGTGACGTTCCCACACCGGAGCAACCGTAGGAGCCTGATAACCCCGGGCGAAGTCACACATCGTTTTAAGGAAGAGCGCGAGACCGGCGGCGTCAGACATTGCGTGGTTGATACGGACGGCAAAGATAAAACCGCCACATTTCAAGCGCGTGACCTACCAGAAATTATATGATCACTGTTAACGTTCTATACTACACATTAGTTTCATTTTGTTATAAAAAAAATATAGGGAAATAACATTCTTTGGAATAATGTACCTACAAACTAAATATATACGATGTCAAAAAAAAAAAAAT